TTCCAGTCGCGTGGAGTCGGCAATAACGACATAATGATGCTATTATACCTGGCACTGCAGGCGAGAATTAAAACTGAAACAGCTCACTGTTATTTTTTAAAGTTATATTTAAATTATAATACTGGTATTAACTATTAAGAAAGAAGGAGGTTGCATTATTAGCATTTGTGGCAATATCAACTTATCATCCAAACAACATTAGCACGTTTATGTATGAGTCAGAATTTAATAATTCTGTAATCATATCGAAATATAATTGAACGTGAACTACACCCCCCCCCCCCCCCCCCCCCCCCTCTCCCGCCCCCCTTAACAGTTGTAACATTATACATATTACATTAGCTAAGCATTAGATTCAACTTTCAATACACCACAGGCTTCTCGGCCTGTTTGTGACGACTACATGGCGACATCAACACTATTCGGCCCTTACTTCGAAAGAATAACATTCTATATGGCTTTGAAAATGAAATATATACGTTGGAAATATGGACCTAATGTTAAACTAAAATCAACCCGTCTCTGGCCGATATCACCACACACACATCACTTGCATCCACGACGTCCGGTGTCAAAACCAAAATATTCGTTAAATTAAGTAGTATTCTCATAACCTTGCGGGCAAACCAGTGATTGAAAGCATGAACAGAGTCCTATACAGTCGGGGCAACATGACCTGCCATGACCTGAGTCACAGAGCCTTATCGCGGATTCAGTTTAGTCATGATATACTGGCGGCCTATACTGGGAGCCTATACTGACCTGGAGTTTATAACAATTAACTATAAAGTATATCCTTTTTAGTATGACTGTTTTAGTATCACAGCACTGTTCAAGTATGAGAACACTGTTTAAGTATGACGCTGTTAGAGTATGACAACACTATTTGAGTATGATAACAGTGTTTAATTACGAAAACACTCGCACCTGAACCGCAGACAATGCAGAAGCATGTCCTTTACAAACATGAATTATTTATGTCAGTTTCATTACATTCTGTGACAAGAGTTGTAGACACATATTACAGAACCGAGACTCTAAAACGTCTACTTGATATGAAACTGACAAATTCGCCATTAAATGTCCTTATAAAGTTTTGTGTAACGAAACCCATGGCACATCACTGTGACAGAGATGAGCCTTAGGCAACCAGACTGTCCGGGGAGAACGAGAATCTCGGACTTCTCGAGAAAAGACAATGCAGCTAGGGCAGGTCTGATTACCTCTTTGAACATCCTCGATTGTCCAGGGTACGAAACCTCCATGCTGTCATGTCAAATACCCTGGGCCCATTCGCTACCTAGCTTTTCAGTCGGATTCACATATGACGTAAAATAGCAGTCTTATCATTTCAAACTTATTAATAACCGAGTTGGAGAAGATGCTATGACAGCGAATGTGTCCGTGGTATTTATCAGAACACAATGTCGCTGGTGTCCCCACTAAAACAACTGCTCGCTTTGGTCTGCCAGGAGTGATTACGTAAATAGTGAGTTGCAATTTTAAACTCTGCACCTTTGTGGGAACCAACTTCGAACTTATCGGTTGTGACAAGCTAACACTTTTCCTACCACGCTAATGAATAATGATGTCGAAACACTTACTTTTCTTCATGTACTGTTTACACAGTGCATGTTATCGAAATTGGTTAACCTATCATGTATGGGTACACTAGTCACACCCAGACCCTAGAGAAAAAAATAAAAACAGTCCAACTCAAGCCAAGATTCTGGTCTTCCTTTGGATCTTAATGGGTTTTATAGTTTATTGATATATATTTTTACATTAGATAACTTTTTCTCTTTTTTTTGGGGGGGGGGGGGGGGGGGGGGGGGGGGATTCCCGCACAGGATTCCCGCCACGAATAAAAGTCCCTATCTTATGATGTCAACCACTGGATTGTCTGGTCCACCCTCGCTTGTTTACAAACCGTCGTCATATAGTATGAATTTTGATGCGTGCGACGTTAAACAACGGCTCAACAAACAAAAATGTATGTTATAAAAATACCTCATTGCCGCTCGCTGACTTGGTTGATGCATGTCATTGATCCCAATTGCGTGGATCGATGCTCATGATATCAATCACTGGATTGTCTGGTCCAGACTCGATTATTTACAGACCGCCGTCATATAGCTGGAATATTGCTGAGTGCGGCGTTAAACAGCAAACAAACAAACAAAACCTAATTGCCTAAAAGACTATTAATGTTGCCGTGTAAACAAATCCATTTAATGGTCATTTATAAGACTTAGACAGGGGAACCTAAGGCTATTTTCACACGCCTTTCACCACAAAAAGTCTTTCGGGGTGTTGCGTTATATTTGTGTTTGAGTATATGATCAATTTTCCAGATTAAGCAACCTTTATCAATCACTGACAGTTTAAGGATGGTACCACCCGAAGCCATTTTGGCGTGACTTATGTCACGTGCTTAGAAATCTGTCAATCAATCACGTGACGTATTATAGATTTCCCGCGACACCGTAACATACACTTCGACCGGATAAGCGTCAATTAGTGGACACTAACTTGTCATTGACTAATGAGCGTCACATAAGTGACAGTATACCCTTAACGGGTTCCCACGAGAGTGAGTGAGTGAGTATGGCAATATTCCAGCAATATCACATGGGGAACACCAGAAATGGGCTTCATACATTGTACCCAGGAGGGGAATCGAACCCGGTTCCTCTGTGTGACGAGCGAACGTTTCTACCATTTCACCCAACAGCCCTCCCACGATAGATTAAAGTATTCACTTTATATTTACAGATACAGTTGGTTTTTTTTAAATAAATAAATGTGTTAGTTTCTTTAGAGCATGTATCCAAATTTCACGGAAAGACATCTTTTGTTTACAACTAAACTTTTCAATCAAGGTTTCACTATCAAATGCCTGTTTAAATCCTTCAAGAAATTTTATGATAGACGTTCAGATAAATTTACTAACATGACATGCTTGTCAACATGATGCACGATATTATCTTATGCTATGACCCTTAAATGGAGCTTTCACACCTTCTTACACACTGGCACTTAATGTTGTAGAGAATATTATGTGAGTGGCAGGTGACCGGTAGAGCAGGACACATTTTACCCTTTTCGCGAACACCTGGTGCCTCCACTGATTCCCAGTGTCCCACTCTGGACATGTTCATCACTTCTTTTACGGGCAATGGAATATGTTTTAGCAGATTTACATCCAAGTGAAGCTTGAAAACCATATGTCTATGCTATAGTTGAGTGACCACCTACCCACGACCCTCACCATCATTGCATCATCGGCATGGGGTGACAATGTGACTGCGGATCTATTATGTATTCTATTCGTACACACACACACACACACACACACACACTAACACACACACACACACTAACACACACACACACACACACACACACACATACACACACACTAACACACACACATACACACACACTAACACACACACACACTAACAACACACACACACTAACAACATACACACACTAACACACACACTAACACACACTAACACACACACACACTAACACACACACACCACAGACAAGGTGTCACAGTCATGTCGCATTGTTGCAAATTACAGGCCTGGGTCGCTTAGTAGACAGAGCGTTCGCGCGTCACCCCGAAGAACAGGGTTCGATCCCCTAACATAAGGATCGACGTTTGAAGTCCAGTCTTGCTGTACCCAACCTTAATTGGGAGCACGATTGGCCCAGCCGTCTACAGAGTCCCAGAGTCCCCTTAACGTGCCATGATCATATGGTCGTGGGTTCGAATCCCAGATTCATGATCCATCTTTGGTTTGTCCACGTTCAATGTTATTACAAAATGTGGTAGATAAATAACACCTGCATCAGTTCTGTCTCCCCCCCCCCCCCCCCCCCCCACACACACACACACATTAAGCTGCAAGCTGTGATATAACCCAAATACTGCTTAGAGCGGCGTAAAACAATACTCACTTTCTGACCAATCCGCAATAGGGATGGCATATTGTTAATAACGGCGTAAAAGTGGAAAATTCTGGATATAGCGGGTATCAACCCGAAGGACGTTTTTCATATTTTCAAGCACCTGTTCATCTGACCCAGACCTGATGTTTTACCGGCCGTGACAGAACTGTATCATTGCTGACATTTGAAAAGGGAACAGTCTCTTTCTCGACCAATTCTTTTGCCATTTGACATAAATTCCTCCAATCCCAATCAAAACCCTCTAACGATTATTTCAACGTTCAGCTGAACACTATTCCTGAAATGCCTATTGCTATATGGCAGTGTAATATTTTGTTAAACAATTATTGCAACTGTATTACATTGATTCTGTTGAGATTCAGTAGAAGTTCATTGCATTTTATTTGGACTTTGTTGTTGTCAGGAATGTAGTACTATTCAATGTAAGCATTGGTGAGGAAGTTGTTCTATTTAGATGCTCGATTATCTGTAAACTTCCGGAATAGCATGGACGGATGTCAAGCGTTATAGAAACATGTGGAATATTCTGTGATGTTCTAGTGACCCTGGACTGGTCAAGCACTGTGTGGAAAGTGTTGAAAGCTGGTTAGTCTACATACGTGGAGCGGCTGCGCGCCTGTCTCATCTCACATTTCATCTCACTTTACATCAAGACCAGCTTTCTTGTAAAGATCACTTATCAACTCGGATTCTCAGTCCAGGGCTATCTCGGAAACTTTACCACTCTTGCGGTGAGGTGATTGTTATTCTTGTCATTGTCATTTCCACTGCTCTTACATTTTATACTGCCATTGAATATTGTAATACCACTCTATTGTGTACTGCCATTGTATTTGCTGTGCAATAATTTGAATTGATTTATAAACCTAGTTAATTTTGTAATATAAGTGTTGAGTGAAAACCATTTGTTTGTTTGTTGGTTTCCACAAAATTCTTTTACGTACATATTTCGGGGTTAGCATATTGTTTCAATTTGGGAATCGATTCGTAACACAATTCACAAACATTAGTCATACCTATAGTTTCTTTAGCTTCATCCTTATCATCTTTGTCATTGTCTTCATCTTTGTCTACATCGTCATCATCGCTGTCGTGACATTTGTCATCGTCGTCCCCGTCGCCCGACCTGTTCCGGGGAGACCACGTCATTTTATTTTCCTTCTTTAGCCTCCTCCTGGCGTTGGCAAACCACGTGGACACTTGGGTCAAGGTCATCTTTGTGATGATGGCCAACATGATCTTCTCTCCCTTTGTGGGATATGGGTTCTTTTTATGTTCATACAGCCATGCTTTGAGGGTGTTCGTATTTTCCCTTGTTGCGTTTTTGCGCCGTGCTGCACTGTTCAGGTCCATTGTTCCGTATCTGAAAGTAATGTATGAACATTGGCTGATTGTAGTGCAATGGTAAAATATTTGAAAAAGTGGCAAATTCAGGATTTTTAAAGTTCAGAGGGATGGTGGATGGGGTGGAGTGTTCAGATCCATTGTTCCGTATCTGAAAGTAATGCATGAATATTGACTGATTGATTTGGGGGACATCGGGGGGGACATCGGGTACTTTGAATTACTAATATTTCAAAAGATAAGACAAGCGTCCATCAGTTCAGATTCATTTGTCAAGGGTGGCATACTCCACTGTATATTTCAACTGATGGTCGTGATTTCATAACTAAACGTCGGAGAAATTAATCAAAACTGCCAAACAGCAGGTCAATCGGTTGCACAAAGTAATCTCAGCGCTGAGACAATGTAACTCCTATACGTTAACATAGACTAACAATAGTCCTGGCATTAATGTTGTTCTGTGCAAGTAGGCCCAACTGGAGACTTGGTGGGTGGATACTTGTTCTTGCTATAGAGAGATGAGCTGTCCTAAACAGAATATTTAATGTCATGTTCTGTCTACATGCAATGCTATTGCAATGACAGAAATAAAAAAATAATGTAAATTAAAATAAGATGGAGTGGGACAGGCGGTAACCAAATGCTTACATAAAAAACTAACATTTTGAAAATGCTAGAAATCTAAGAAATTTTGAAAAAAAATAAAATGCTAAAGTACTGAAAAGGCAGAAAAAATATTTGTTAATCCATCTCGCCCACGCACATGAATATGTTTATTACTTTTATCTATAAGAAGCTATAACGGAATTTGCTTTTAGAGAATGTCACATGTCAATGGCATTTGAAGACCTGTCAATTTCTGTCATTTAAGGCCTCTTCAATCTGTCACGAGGACGTTTAACAAACGCAAGTGTATTAATCATATAGCGCGTAGTTCAGTCACACCTCGGTTGAGTGGAGGTACAGACGGTTTGTTTGAAATCGAATTATCGTGCCACGTATTTCTTATCAGAGAATACCGCTGTACACCTCCGTGTCTGGTCAACCCACTTCCCCCTCAAGCATCGGGTTGGTGAGGCAACAACCTATCCCCGGGGGTGCAGGGTCACCCACGTAACTGAAGTTCCACGTCCTTAGGGTCATTGTATTTTTGCACTTTTTGTATGAAATATACAACTGTATATTTCATGCTACTGGTATTGTCCGGTTTTCAATCACGTGGCACCATTTGGGTGTTGATCACAACAGGTAATATCTATACCTATGCAACTGGGAAATATATCAAGACTGCGTTCCTATGTAAGTATGGATGTGGTGTCAGAGACGAGACAATTTTTGTATCAAACAAATGCGATTTAAATGATAATAAATATTCATTTAGAAGAAATATCTTCTACTTAAAGACGTCGTATTCTAGAAGCGGCAATACAACAATAGTGCGCACATAGTTTAATATTAAAACAAGGGTTGTCCTTATATACTCATTTAGGGGAAGTTATTAAATTGGTTATTAATATGTGAAATTAACCTGGCAAAAACTCATGAACACCAAATAAGCAGCATGTACTCTCTTAATTTCGCATTGCATGTAAATCAATGAATGTGAAAACGCTTTCAAATAAGAAATACGCATTATGGATTGTTAAACAAATATACAAGCACGCATTGCCGGAGCAATGTATGTCAAACAACTTATAAAAATCTAATATTATTAGAACGTAATTTAACCGCCCTACAGAAAACTTTACATATATATGTCACAACATTCAAGGGATTTACTGATCATATACAATAGATATAAACTGCCGGGGATAGAAAGTATACACTTGAAAATTGTATATCAAAACGTTCCTATAGGCTTGACACGCCCCACAACACTGCAAATTTAAGTTTCAAAACACAACTTTAAAAAACCCGTATCAAATACATCACCATCGAGTAGCTATTTCTTTTTGTTTCATGTTCAGCCACCACCAAACATGGATGTATACCTTCTTTTATGTAATTAGCATCAGGACAATTATTTGTTTAAATTTTAGAGAGGAGAGAAGTGCATGTGTATTATGTAGTATAAGATTTCAAAGACTATATGTTAGTCTAACTTTCTTTTCCCCGGCAGTTTATATTCCATATACGTTGTGGGAGAACGAATAGCTTCTATACTTTTTGATAGAAGCAGACAGTAATTAAAAGTTTAAAAGCTAGCGTTTTCACAATATGTTAATGTTCCTTTGCGAATGCACTTACGCGTTGCCATAAGGGTAGGCCGACACTGTGGGGTCATACGGATAGCAGGCGGTGGGCTGGCTTATCCCACGCCAGGTCTCGCCAGGTTCTTTGATGTCGTAATGAGTATTCTGTAAACATAAACAATCACAATAAGGTCTCAGTAAACATCAACAAACATGATAACAACATGTGATGCAGACAGAGGGACGAGCACGGCGAAATGAAGACAGCATGTGGGGGATTAGACTTCAAAGACGCAACACTGAATCTGTGAAGATTTCATATGTGTTTAATTGTATTACTTATCTCTGATCTATTTAACTTTAAAATAAAAATTACCAGTAATCCATTTTGAAAGGTTGATACATGTTATAGAGACAGAAATTGGTTATTGGCTGTGATGGGAGAAATGTTCATCATTTCGAACCTATGTTCATTGCTCTCCCTGTGTCTACAGGCTATATTACACTGTGTTCTTTGTAAAATGTGACAATGGCATGCTTTATATGCTTAATCATAATTTTCTGATATGTTTCAAACTACAAAATGGTTCATTTTCAAAGGTGTAGTTCATACGTAATTTATACATCTGATGATCGATTTGATTCTATTACCTTTTGCGTTTTATTAACACGTGAATTCGAAATTGATTGAAATGGACATAATGTATTCGTTCCAAAACCACCCAATTGTAAACAATAGACCATGCATCGTGTGATTAGTTCGAAACACAATTAAACACGAGTTCAGTATTATATATTTTGAAATACATCATGCAAACAAAACATCATATATCACGTTTCTCTCCATGTCTCTAATCCCTTTTTTGAAATTAACATCTTGTGAAAGATGAAAGGCGCCGCATGTAACTATCAATCACACAATTGATATCGGACAGGAGATACGAACGGTCACTTTTCATTATTTGTTCTTCTGTCCATCCACCTATCTGTCACTCCCCCTCAGCGTCTCGGTGAGATCAAAAGAAAGAGGAAATTTCATCCGTAAAGTGAAATTAATCACATGAAATCGACAAGCGTTTATTACAATCAATCAAGTTGCTTCTATTGTCATTTCGTAAACCGCCATGCAATTTCATTTCGGTCTGTATGCGTAAACAACAAAGAAATAATTGTTTATTCGTTTGAATTTATTTTTTCAAAATATCAGTTTCATATAAGACATCGTTATTCCCCCATGCCGCCATTATTTCTCTGACCGTCGTTTTTTTTAAACGTAAATGTATTTGTCGTAGTACTGACCGGTTAGTCGCATTTGACAATAGCTTTGTCTATTTCACAGTAAAAGATCTGTTTCATATTATCAAACGGTGTACACCTCCTTAATCGGGACACTGAATATAAAACGTCAACGCCAGAGAATAACTTGTCTCGAGTATCCGACGAAACGGTTCATTGCGATTAAAACGCAAAATAGCGGTGAAAAGTATATGAGTGGATTACTATAAATCAGTGAACACCAGGTGTTCGCGAAAACGGTGAAAGCGTGCACCCTATTAAACAAATCATTTATTCTAACATTCTATTACCGCTGAATATCCAGAGATATGTTACGAAATAGGTATCCTTTCTTATCGTCATGAAATATGCATGCTCGTTTCCGACATGAAAATACACACTTTCCGACTTCTAAATATATAATAGAAATATTGCGATATTATAGTCACATAATATTTGGATTCATTTCCAAGCGGAGTTTGGTTTATGACGTATCAGTCTGTACGAAACATGATCAATTACACAAGAAACTCACCACCAAATCCCTTGTGTAGTCGTACCAGTAACAACAAGACACGGAAACTGTATACGTGAATTAATACGGAGTTATATTTGACAGTGACATCAAGAATCTAGACACATACATTATAACAAGTACTTGCATTACAGCTGATTAACTTCAACAGAAACGTACTCAAACACGCATTAATACTCAAATCTATCACGAAAGCGAAAAAAATATTATGAAAAACTCACAATGTTTCAAACTCCTGAAGTTCAAGTTTCAAATAACGTTCACACAAAATACTTCTTCACTCCCAATAAACGTAAATATATTTCTGAAATCCCCATTTTAAAAACAAGCCCTCTTAGACACGAGCCAGCCCATGTCATATATGTAATAGACTGAAGCAGTTATTTCTATTATCTTCTCGTAGCCGTCTCATTCAAACCAGAAGGCGACAATTAAGAAGCTGTTACCTTTAATTACTGGGATACCCCCCTACTGTGTTCAATTTGAATAACATTAAATCACTTAACCGGCCTGGGCGGTGAGGGATGCTGTACTGAAAGAGGAATCCTTTGGCTAGTGATGGCCATAAGATGAATTACTTTGTTAACCAATTCCGTCAGCTATTTTGGATTTTTAACATTTTGTTCGCGAAGCGCGACGCGTGTATCACGCGCCGATAGATGCATGCTGCAGCGAGTTGTGAAATGAAAAGTTTGAGTTAAAAATGTCTACTTCAAAGTTTCCTTTTAAATTATTTTAAAATTATTTTGAACTAATATATTTTGAAGACCCTGATTTTGATATTATAAATAGGAAATATTCCGCAGAGCGATTTACACAAAACTTCTATTATTGTAAAATTTAAAATGTTAAAATATAATCAGTATTATCACCCATGGGTCAGTTAACACACGTCCATCAAGATAAAAAAGATATGTTATCAATAATAGCTATGGTAGAATTATTATTTATCACAATGGAAATAGGGTATAATATTCAAACATCGTCATGCTAGTGATATAAAAGTGTTCTTTAATCTTCATACAATTATGATAGCATTGTGTTTCTTATAACGTATGTGTAGGATTAAATAACATCTAAAAATTAATAACATGATGCAAATGCTACAACAAAGTTTAAGACTGTGAATTAAGGAACATCAAATCGTTCTCTGCAATGAATAACCAGAACAACTGACCCTGATTTGAGGGATGCTTAAATTATAACGGAAGGCTCCATATCCTATTTATGCAACGTGTTGATAACAGAATAATTCAGTTGTGAGGTTTGGCAAAGGAATCCAATTTTATGAAATCACCTGATAAGGATGCTATTATATTTCATCGTTTGATGCGCGGGATCATTAATCTACAACGGTTAGATTCACGTTCGGAAGAAGTATGCTTGTGAGAAGTGATGTTATACAAGTTCATTATTATCTTGACTTGATCAAATTGTGTTTAAACTATAGATTGAATATTTTGCATTAATCAGAAGCCCTGAACGCCGATTTAGGCGCCGTCGCGGCTTTCTTATCTCCCCTTAATTATTTCAAGAAGAGGCTCTCGGCTTAATTTCGTTTAAATAGCCATCTGAAGAAATTCTGAGAACCCAATTTAAAAGTGGCATGTCGTTCTGGGATATTTCATAAGAACTGATCTCGCTTAATTATACACACACGCCGCAATTTATTGTGGCAGTTTGAGAAATTAAGAGGAACTTGCTTTGAGGGCATCGGATGATGAATAAATTCATTTCATTTACAGATAGATACATTAATTAATTTTATTGGAAGCAGATGCGGTCAAGATTGCGTTAATTTACAAATTGTTTTTTTCCAGATATAAACATGCATGATATAGACAAGAGACAACCGCCGCCTGCTTGTCGCTTGCAGTTACGCTTTGCACATCTGCTACATATCATACACCATTAACAAAATTGAAGAATTACATTCTGTAAATTTGAAAAGGGATCGAATTATGTTCTTGTATCACTGATGTGCATCAACGCTGGTTCGATTATTAATGATAGCATCTTATATGTTCTGATTGTATAAACGTGATCTATACTCAAAGTGCGTCACGTCATATGACCTGCCGGGTAAAAGAAAGTATACACTTGAAAACTGGATTTGACAAAAAACTTAATAAAAAACGTTATCAGGCTGAAAACAGTGGCCGAAAAGCTGCAAACACAGAGGTGCAAAGGTCCAAAGACAACTATAATACCCGTATCAAATACATTTCGTGTTTGTTTCATTTTATAGCCACTTTTAAACATGCGTCTATAGTTTCTTTACCCCGGCCGTTTGCATGTTTTACATACGTGCATTTGTAATAAACATGCACTATATATCCTACACAACAAACACTATAAACACGTTAAATTGATGTGTATTTATTTCACAGTTCTTGTTGGTTATAGTGATTTCGATCGTGAGATTGATTTGTACATTTACTTTTTGATATTAATTTGTCACTGTAATTTTTTTAGGAAAAAATAATAATACAGGAAACATGTCCTGACAGGAAAAACAGGCTAGATACTTGGAGGCCGGATACAGTACTCCGTGATATGGAACACATGGAGCCTGTCCCTCTAATATCTTCACCCCTCCTCCTGCTACTGCTGCTGATATGGGGGTGCTATTTGCTGCTGCTGCTAGTGCTACTGGTATCATTACTGCTGTTTTTATAGGTAATACAAATGCTGCCTTTATTGCCATTATGTTAATGTAGTTGCTGTTACTACTACCATTACTACCGCTGCTGATGGTACTACTACTACAACTACAACAACTACTAATACTACTACTACTACTACTACTACTACTACTACTGCTACTGCTACTGCTACTGTTACAAATGCTGCTACAACTGCTATCACTGCTACTACTAATTGTACTGATCCTACTGCTACTACTACTACTAGTGTTGCTGCTGCCGCTGCTACTACTACTACTTCTACCTACAGCTACTCCAACAAATACTGATATTCTTGCTATCACTGCTGCTACTGCTACTAATGGTCAGTCATGCTTGTCGTAAGAGGCGACTAACGGGATCGGGTGGTCAGGCTCGCTGACTTGGTTGATGCATGTCATCGATCCCAATCGCGTGGATCGATGCTCATGATGTCAATCACTGGATTGCCTGGTCCAGACACGATTATTTACAGACCGCCGTCAAGTAGCTTGAATATTGCTGAGTGCGGCGTTAAACAATAAACAAAACAAAAAACTACTAATGGTACCGCTTTATTGTTGCTTCTGCTTCTACTTCTACTACCGCTGCTTGCTGTCCTACTACTACCCCTCCGACTACTACGTCGTTGTTCTACTCGTCAATGCCATTTCCGTGCTGCTACTTCGGGTCTACTGTATCAACCCTACATTGTCAACAATTACTACTACTGTTGCTGCAAACTGCACCTAACTATTATTGCTACTGCCATTACTACTACTACTACTACTACTACTATTACTACTACTACTACTACTACTACTACTACCTCTTCTACTATATCTTCATAAGAATTATCAAATGAACATTTTGTCACTATTTTTACTGATGCAGCAACGGCTGGCTCGCTACAAATATTTTGAGTCATCACAGTGTTTGCAAACAAACCATTGAAAACATCGCGCACATCGGCCCAATCTCAATATATTATATAACTGTATCAATACAGTCATAGTGTCCGTCCAAAAATACATGCCCGTGAAGAAACTTTCACAATAAATATTACTAATGGTACCTAATGATCCGTATAGAATTGGTTTTCAACAACCCATGCTTGTCGTAAAAGGCGACTAACTGAATCGGGTGGTCAGGCTCGCTGACTTGGTTGATACATGTCATCGTATCCCAATTGCGTAGATCGATACTCATGATGTCAGTGACTTGATTGTCTGATTCAGACTCGATTATTTACAGACTGCCATCATACAGCTGAAATACTGTTGAGTGCGGCGTTAAACAAACAAACAGAAAACAAATAAACCAACACGATTTGACAAAGACTGACACAGTACATGATAAGGTAGAAGAACACAGAATTCACGAAGTCACAAACAGCTAAGCGCTACAGGTACCAGAGATATGTGTATGTCCGACTATCTGGTTCCTAACACTCTACATTAATCGACTCTCGTTATACACCGGCAGCGTGTGAACTTCACCAGGAGCAATGGCGGCTATTGACTCAATCAATCAAGTGCGCCCGTCAATCATCGTCGATATTGACACGCGCAACAGTTAACACTCCGGGCCAGGAACGCACAGTGACCACAGATGACCACTCGAGTGGACATCCATCATTCTGTCGGCATATTTACCTGAGAGAGGAGACGCAGGTAGATCTCCTCGTTCACCGCTAGCGATGAGCAAGGTCTTATACTTAATCCCGTTAACTGCGTTCTTGACGTGCGATATTTGCTCTGTTTTCTGTATGTGATAATTCAATTACTATCACAGCAGTACAAAATGTGGTTTGATCCTTCTTTCAACCAGTGATGCAGTTTTATCCAAACAAGTTACAACTGTACGGCAGATTTAATTATTTATTTGATTAAATTATGTAAAAGGTCAAAAACGTAAAGGATAAAAACGTTTATTTGTCTGTCGATCGTCTACATTGTATCTATCTAAATTGCATCCATCTGTCTATGCATCCACCCATCCTTTCATCCATCACCTATCTTTCTTAGTTGTATCTACCTATTCGTCTAGTCTGTCTTACAGACCCTGATACAAATGTATATCAAATACAGCCAATGCAAGTCTATAATGTTTGGCAATCCTAGATTACTGCAGTATCGGTATCTGAAAATGAAGAGAGTCACTGGGCTCCCTTTTATCATATTTTTATTAAGATAACTGAACAACTGTTTTTTCTGTACGCTATGTTCATTTCAGAGACTAGATGTTAGTCTACTATTCGTCCATTGTATCCATAACCTATAACCACCATCAGATTCCAGTAACAAATGTTGTATTTGGGATAACACTTTCTTAATAAAGTAAAGATTCTCTTACTTTTTTGGATTGAGTCCCATCCGGGATTCGAACCCACATTGCCAGAGTGAGACACCTAATCGCCAGCACACAAAGTCAGCGATCTAACCCACTCAGCCACCGAGGCTTCCTACTAAGAAAGTGTTATCCCAAATATAACGTTTGTTACATTTGACCAGTTTCTAAATGTCATTCATGTGTTCAGATTCCAGTAAGTTGGCGTGTAATTGTTGCAAATATTTGTATGTGTTTATTAAAATACTAAGTTTTAATATTCTATTGCGTTACATATACACATACACCTATATATTCCATACTGTGCATTCATCTACTTGGCCCACTGACATATATGTTCGTGTCACTACGAGAAATAACAAACATACATTACAAGCCCGACACTAGCTTCCAGAGAGCGCATCGATATACCGACACCAATCCTGCTCTATGCGCTTCTACTGTCAAATCATCGATTTCAGAACTCTTTCGGTTTGCCTGCTGCGACAGAAAAGCGAATTTCAACGTCTATGGTGTATTTCATAATGTAATCGATTTCAACACAGAATAGAGGAAGAAACGGGTATCGATCATGCCGTCTTGCTTATTTCACTTACCTAAAAGTTTTTAATGAAATTGACGGATTGAAAACCGTTGTATATTTCAACATGTGCACGTGAGTGGTGCCGGTAGCATAAGAATAATTTAATCACAAGGTTTATGAAAACACCTGTTAGCGCCCTCTTTTCCGGCAATACATTACCCTGTGGCGTGACAAAGAGGCTGATTCTATTTATAATATGGGAGACAGTTGGATTGAAATTAAACCTGATTGTTAATAACAATCGATGTTCTCGCAGTATGTAAAATGCTCTAAAGATTCGAGTTTAAACGTTATAGTCGTGACTGTGGTGTGAAATTGATTTGTCATTACCAGTGGGTGAAACTGGCTTGGGAATGACAATAGAAGGATAGCATCTGTGCCGATATTAAAATATGTTGTCTTGGGTTATTGAGTGAAATTGACACCTTTATAGCTCTATGATTGACATGTCATAGCATTTGCTTGGAAAAAGACGGAGACAGCATTCACAGGTTGAAATGCACGATACAGGGTTATCAAGTGTACAGACTGTTTCACTGGGCTGAAAACTTACCATTCTTCAACGAAGCCATACATATACCTCATATCAGAAGGTGTAGAAAAAAATCCCCTACACTAAATGAAAACAAAGTTTCTGAGACATATTATATAAAGCCGATTCGTATTGCTTCCTAAATTTAATAAATGTGTCCATTCTTATAATTTGTACCGCTATTTAGCCTAATACGTCCAATGGAATCTGCTTCGGCGGATAATCGAGACTGGTTATTGTCTGGCGTTGACGTTTTATATTTACTGAACCGCTCTCCGTACAGTGTAAATTTCGAAGTCGCCATTTCATGTAGTTTGTTACAATAAACATTTTTCAAAGTTGAGCAGAATTTCACGGAATGGTCTTAAGAATATCAAGGCGTTCAGCAAAGATTCATTTTTCATTAATGAGGGGGAATAGACGAAGATTTAATGTGTTAAATCAATTAGCAATTGTTATACAGAAAACCACGGTTTTAACGACCTCGAAGGGACCACTAATTTTAGTTCGTAATAACCGTAGTTCGTTATAAGCATATATACGGCATTTATACAACACATGGTCGGGACTGAAAAATAAGTTCGTTATATCAGTCAGTTCGTTATATGCGTGTTCGTTATAACCGTAGTTTACTGAAAATAGGAAGTGTGAGCTGGTTCCGATTAAGAATTTGGATAAGAGGTAACGTACGTGGATAAATTGAACATTTATTATATGTATACGGCTTCAGTGGGGTTGGAGAACTCTCCACGGATGTTGAAACATGTTTTAAGGCGTTTGTGTCTCGTTAAAAGGTAAAAATATAACAACAGGTTTTTCGTCCATAATTTACACTGATTACTTCACCACGAACAGTTATGGCAACTTCTTTATGCAAATTTACCTTAATGTCCCTGCCACTTGATATTTGCATGAAACTAACATGACGTTTTAAAGCATTAGCACGTATAAACTGCACGCCGGACAACAACCGGCTGAACATTGTCACCACGTGGGTCACCGACCTTCCAAGTTGTCGGATGTCTGTTTCGTGTCTGTAAGTCTGTTTTGTGCTATCTGGGTCATGTCTTTAGGTCTTTAGTCTCATGTTAAGACTGTAATCAGGTCAATCCCCGATCGAATTTTAAAATAATAATTCCACTGTTTTCAAGTATATCCACTATGGTGCTACATTAGTCATGTGAATGAAGAACAAACGGATTTAGGGTGGACTAGGCACACGAACTATCCGTCATTGGGGTTGGGCACACATGTTGATTGTCTCTGCAGAATTGGGGCACAAAAAGTAATTTATAATGACAGGGCATGATAAGTATCACGTGATCTAGAGGTGGGGCACAACGAGTCTTGTCGACATAGGACCATCTATTTTACTTTCACTTTTGGCACGAGAGCAGTATCTCCGAATACCCGGCACGAATTGGTATTGGCCATGGGCAAATTATTTCCCTTATTAACAAACAGTCTGTATTAACGAGTGTCCCTGCTAACGAGACATTAAGTATCTGAGAAATCGTTAATTATTTGATTGAAACACAAAAGGAAAACATTCGGGTTTTAAAACGTCCCCGTTGATGTCAGCGGTGGTCGAGGCTCTGGGGCACGGGGTAGGCTAGTACTCACCAAAGGAGGGTAGAACGCGGATGGGTCGGTGCCCAAGGGCACATATCCCTGGGTAGCGTATGGCGTGGTGGGGTAGACGCTGTCCGCGAGGCCCGCCACCCGGGAGTAGGAGAGGAGGGAGGGGGTGTACTGGCAGGAACACACGCTCTGACCAGTGTGGGGGTTGGTCACTAGGGTCCGGCCATTCTCGCAGCACGAGTTGGACGTTGTGGTGGGCGGACTGCTGGACATCAGGATCTGCTAAAAGTAAACACGATTTAGTGACGTAATACATATATACCGAGGGGCAAAAGAAAGTATACCGAAGTTTATTAAGAAACTGAAAATTGAAAGAACTGTCAAGAAAACGTACAATAACACCAGACGTTGTCATCTATAAAGTTGTACGTTTTTTTATATACTCACCACCTTCTAAAATGCCAATCAAAACAGTTTGAAAGAACGTTTGTTAAATTGTATTATGTGTTTTTATTGAACCAGCACGGTTTGTAAAGCGTAATCTGTTTAAAAAAGTATTTTTTTGTAAAAACAAATTGGCTCAATGAAGAATGGGGTAAGAAAGGAATTTGCAACCACTTGGCCCCAACCATGTGTGAAATATACATTTGAGCCGAAAAAAGCCCAAGTGAATTGCTTTTCAAAGATAGGACGTCTCGGGTGTCCATTACCAGTTGTGCATTATGCGATTCTTCTTGTAATTTTTAACTTTTTAAATCAAATTATTATTTTAATCATAAAACCATGTAGAAGTATTCTTTGAGGGCTGACTAAGCGCCAGTACAGTTCATTGTTTGGATATACAGTAGACGGTTATAACGAACTCGGGGGGACCACTAATTTCAGTTCGTAATAACCGTAGTTCGTTATAAGCATACATACAGCATATATACAACAAATGGTCGGGACTAAAAATAAGTTCGTTATATCCGTCAGTTCGTTATAAGCGTGTTCGTTATAAACGTAGTTTACTGTAATATCGATAACTTAAGATGTTTCAATTGAAAATCAAACATTAATCAATTGAGAGGTATAGTTTCTCAGTTTACATGGGGTACTTTGGACGTTTGGCATATCTACTATTACCCTACATATTTAGAAGATGATGAACTTATCCTTGATATTAGTGTAAAGTCACAAGTTCGCGTAGTTCAAGATTTTGTATGTCATAGTTTATTAGAAATTTCTTCTAAAATATGCGCAATGTTGTCAATGTGTCATTTTATGTGGATTTATAACTTTAGCTTTGTCGATATTTTCCCTGACCACCCCCTGGTCTAGTGGATACAGCGTCTGCCCGGAGAGCAGGTCAGTAGTTCCATCCCCTGGCCACGTCAGACCAAAAGACGTTGAAAGAATGCACTTCATGGCGCTCGGAATTAGTACGATAAAACAAGGACTGGTCGGCTCTGAGTCCGTATACTGTGCCTGAGTGGGGCATTCATGGTAAACTGTATCTTAGTGGGCACGCACGCACACACGCACGCACACGCACACACACAAACACACACACACACAAACGCACACATACACTAAAACGCATGCATGATCTTGAACGCGAAGTAAAACAGCACTTCACGTCACCTCACCCATTTCCGTACTCTATGTATCTTTTTTTGTTTTTTTGTTGTTTAACGCAGAACTTAGCAATTCCAGCTGTATGTCAGCGGTCAGCAAATAATCGGGTCTGGACCAGACAATACCGTGATCTATGTATCGTCACAGACAATACATTCACGTATGCTCATATCAAAGGTACAAAGGTACAAACATTTCAAGATACGTTGAGGGTGGAAGTATCTACGTCATTTTACTTCTATTTCAACCTTCCTTCAATCAACACTGACTGCATAGACACTTTTAAAAACATAAACTACAGTGTTTTTAACGAACCACAACTATGATATACGATCATCATACTATGGTTTGTATTTATGTTTATGCTATTACCATTTTAACTTCAAAGTTGTTACGATGTTTATTTCTATGTTGTTGACATCATCAATTCGAAGTCAGAAACATCGCTACACTAAAGCTGTTGAACAGTATTCAAGTTATATCACGGCGTGTCAGCTTGATGTCGGAGGTAAACTCGATGTGATGCAGGTCTCAGACATTTACCACTTCGTGGAACCGACGAGCATGGGTACGGTGCTGACAAACGTAGAAACATAATCAGGACGAACCGGGATTCGAACCCACGATCAGAGGATTCTTGCACGCATAAGGGACGCAACTCTGCACAGCGAATGACGTCTTCGACGACTGAGAAACCGGCAACAGTGATCACTGCAGTGCTGTCTAAGTTTAATGAATACTGGTGAGGTGAAATGGGGTTTAACGTCGCGTTCAAGATTATTGCACTTATATAGCGACGTTTAAGGAATACTAGTTACTAGTACGCTATACACTGAAAACGCAATGAATTACTTCCACCACTGGTAACCATAGCAACAGACCACCCTCGCTTAATGTTGTTTCTTATTTTCGATCCTGATGACATCTTAATGCCCGAATATATCAGGTATATGTAAGTGTTATCAACGTATTTAAATGTAATCATCGCGGGAGTGTTTATGCTTTATGCCCACCACACGAAGTGTCAATCAGTTCGCGAACCCAGACAGGCCTGGATGTATAACCCTATAGAGAACTACTGAAAATACAGAGTGCGTGTGTGAGTGAGTGAGTTGAGTTACCGCCATAATCAGCAACAGTCCAGCAATATCAGAATGATGGACAGCAACAAAAGATTTCACAAATTGTCCTTGTTTATTGCTTGATATACTCAGCAATATTCAAGCTTTATGACGGCGGTCTGTAAACAATCGAATCTGGACCAGACAATCGTCATGATTGACGTCATGAGCATCGATCTACGCAACTGAGATACGATAACATGCATCAACCATGTCAGCAAGCCTGACCCTGATCCCGTTAGTCGCCTCTCTCGACATACATTGGTTGCTGAAGACCTTTCCTAACCCGGATCTTCACGGGTTGTTTTCTCACTGACTCTATGACTGTGTACTGAAATGGTTATAACATACTGAGATTGCGTCACTTTGCTTGATGTTTTAAATGGTAACCAATTCTAACGCGGACCTTTACGGGGGTCACACGTTGCACATGTAGGGGTCGAATCAAGGTTTCCGGTGTGGCGAGCGAATTCCTTTTCTTGAAGTGTTCCACTTATTTACTTCGAGATAAGACATCGACATAACACAATTTCAGAAAAATACATTCCCTCAAATCCATGGTAAAGTTCCCGTTATCCTTTTGAAAATATGGACATTGTATGTACTGGAAGCTTTTGTCTCAAACATACAGAACTAACCTTCCAATATCAGCATCATGTTCCTTGGATGGGTACCTAAGTGCAATAATACAGCCCCAGCCATATTGCTGGATGGAAGGTCGCCTTTAAGATTATATTAAATTAGTACCGTTGCTTTTTCATTACACCTTTTGGTGTACGTCTATTTATGACACTGTTCATTGTTTGTTTTAAAGACAGACAATCCAGTGATTGACACCACGAGCATCAATCCACGCATTTGGGATACGATGACATGCAACAACCTTGTCAGCGAGCCTGACCACCCGGACACGTTAATCGTTTCCTATGACAAGCATAGGTTGCTGAAGACCAATTCTGAATCGTATCTTCAAGGGGATGGAAGACTTCAAATGCAACCTGTCACCTCTGAATTGTCCCAACAGTATATAAACCATAAATAACATTTACAACGACATCAACATTAACAATGACGCTTAATTAATCTGTCGTATTGCCATGCATTTGTAGTGGGGTTCATAGTATTCCTCCCTCACTCGACGCTACATGTCTGTCATAGTAATTACATGCATACGTGTCTGTAATGTCGACAAGGCCATAGTGCCTGGTCCGTATCTAGCCCTGAAATCATTCAGGCATTCGTTAAGTCGAACATATCGAAATAGCTTTTACCGGGAAGACTCCCGGCTGTATCTTACAGTCATTTGAGTCCGATATCTCGAAATATTGTTTACCTCGAAGTCGCCCAACAGACCCAGTGATCAGGTTGTCACTCGCCTCGACTGTTGTATGTTATCGTGCCCGCGATGACGCACGTCGTTGTTCATGTTTCAGCCATTGGTCTGTCTGTCTAGACATGATAATTCCAGGCCGCTATGACAAAGCTGGAGTATTATTGCTAACCACGGCGTAAAAGGGCATCCACTCACCCATTGAACTGGATTTCAGCCTAATCCTTACAAAACATCGATTCTTTATAGTGTAGTATGCAAAAAGCATGTATTAAAATATTAATGATGTGGTCCAAAGTTCATCATATGATAATCACACATTTATTTTCGTAATATCTAATAAAATATTGTGTATGACAATTATTTCATGAATTTGCTTTTCCGTGGCCGTATTTTGTCATATTACTTATGGCATTGTTTTCGTTACATAAGATCCGTGATGATAAACGTCATTAATGTGATAACTTAAAACCCTTAATTTATATAATAACATTTAATTTTATTTAATATGTTATTATTATCTTTGTTCTGTTTATTATTCAGATGCGATGTAAATGTTGCAGCCGAAACCCCCCAGAATGGATGTTGAAAATGTTAGTGTCGTAAAACAGACACAAAGAAGAGGGAGCGCTAAAAGCGGACACGTGCACCTTCAAGGCAGTGGGCAGAGTATATGAAACCGCAAGAGTCTGATCATGTGAAAGACATGTTGACACTCTAGGAAGATCAAAGAGCTCGTTTTTTGAACATGTGTGGTTGGTACTTAAAACTTTACTCTTTAAAATTATGCACAAGAGATATAAAAACCTGTGGCTGAGACGAGGCTGTATATTTTGCCAAAGTGGTCGTCGTGTTGTCTCCATCACTTCTTGCCTACTTACCTATATGTACCTACTACCATCGCTGTAAATATACTTGTTCAGATTCGCCTCTGTAGTCAAACCCGTTAGCCCAGATCCCGTTAGTTTGAAACCACCGTTACAGCGAAGATCACTGAACGCCCATATATAAGGGGAAAAAAGTCAACGTCGTTAATCCGGAAATTTGATCATCACTCAGATACACCGTCCAGAATAACAGGGTTTTACTGTATCTATCCATCTGTGCTCCTCCTCGATCCATACTTAAATTTCCACTTTCCATCGATCTTCTATTTATTCAATATCTGCAACCATAGACATATCACGCGTGCTTTATTTATCTTGAATATCCTT